AGTCTCAGGATCATAACAGGAGATCCATGTCTCATCACCAGTTACCAGTTTGCTCAGGAAATCTGACTCATTTCTGGCTAAATGTTCCAAAACAGCCACTGATGACTCCACACGTTTCCTCTTTTGTTCGGTTGTCAAAAGTTTGGGGATCCAAATTTGCTGCCAGCTTTCTCATTTCCAAGTTGTTGTGGATAATGGCACCAACTCTCTTAAGTGATATTCTCAGATATAAAGCAATACTTCTGGCTGATATTCGGCAGTCCTCCGTGACCATGTTATGTATGGCTTTCACCTTTGCAGGCACAGAGACAGAAACAGGCCTTCCCCTGGGTTTCTCATTTTCAATACTGAAATGGCCAGTATAAAAATTGACACCCCAACGTTTAACTGTTGCATATGTCCCCCGTCACTGTCCCCCATAGTTTGTGACATTTCATCATGGATCTGCTTTGCATCTTTCCCTTAGAGAAACAGGAACTTGATTATGGTCCTGTGCTCTTCCACACCGAACTTTTGTGGAGGTGCTGCCATGTTCACTTTGGACCTGAACATGAAAGATTAGTTAAAATCATAGGTAGCTGATTTTTGCACCATTGAATACAGACAAATTGGCCAATACACCCTGCAATTTACAGCTTCCTTTTTGGGTAAGGCTCAATACTTATCAGCACCCCCTCGTAAATAGAAAAAAAATTATTTGCTGGTGTAAAGGGAAGGAAAGATTAGAAAATCTTTTGATGTTGCATTAAAATCATATTGCCTTTTGGCGATAAAACAGGGGAAAAGAAATCTCTTCCAGACTTGGAATCAGTGAATTATTTTAGTAATTCAAATCTGTTCTTTAAATTCATCAGAATGGTTATGTTGTGATAACCATAATTTGGTACTAGGATTCTATTAGTGTTTTTTTTCAGCTGTACTCTAATGATAAATACGAACCATTCATTATGAGTACAATCTGTTCCTAGTCTTGTTTTGCCAGAGAGAATACAGCTTCTCTATTTCCAAATAACCAGTCTATTTAATTTTTATATTGGCAATCTGATGATATCCATGTGTACAGTCATCTGTTTGGTTGCTCGAAACAAGGATTTGCAATATATGGTTGGTTTCATAGAACTTTGAGTTGGATTGTTTCTGATTCCAGGGCCAAATTCTCCAACAATGTTTGGTTCTGCTTGGTTCCCTCCACTTGCTTTTCAGTCACATATGAATATCATAACTCACTGGGGGTGTGAAGCTTGTAAAAACATGTCTTAAATATCTCATTTCTCTTGAGAGCTGTATTGAGGTTGCTCTAAGTCTCTTCTGACCTGACAACACATAACATAAAAACTGGTACGTGATCAATTCCTTCCTGGATTCTTGAATAAAAGCTTTCTGTTTTCTCTTGTTCAACATCTGTAGTTGGAGTGTAGACTTTTTTCCCCAGAAGAGGGATATCGTTTTTTCCCCAGAAGAGGGGTATTATTTGGTCAAGATTTTGCATTATAGCCCCTAACTGCCCGTGCTACAGCCTGCCTCAGGCGAGACTGGGAATCCATTCACATTCATTCACAGTGTGGTCTCACCGAGGCATTTGGGTCTGGGTGGTGTAAGGAAGGGAGTCCTTTCTGCAAGTTCCTTATCTAGTTATCATTAGCTTTTTGGGAGGGACTCTGGGAGACACGCTCCCCTTCTTACTCCATCAGATTTCCTCACGAGGAGAGCTTGTTGGTGTAAGTTAACAGAGTTTTTGTCCCAGTCCAGGCAGTCCAGTAGTCCAGTTGATTCACGCAGACAAAGACAGCTTCTTCCAACACCAAGTATATTTAAAGTATATACAGAAGTTTAGAAGTACAAACCGGCAGGATGACAGCGTGACATTCATTGTTAGAAGAGATCCTACATGTTCTCCACAGGTCCACACAGTTATACAGATGCATATTTACATACATCCAATCAGTGTGGGACATTGCATCATCCCAGAATGCATGATTCAGTATTTTGCACAGCCGTAAAATATGGCTGCTGATTAACAACAGGCCTTGTTCTGCTTCAGTGTGGAAATAATCCTTGACAGAGCTGTTAAAAGACGGAAGTAGTGTCTGGGAAAGAGGCATAGATTCTTGTAAGCCTGCGCTGCTTTGTGTGCATGCAAGTCTTGTGGGCCAAGATATGAGAGGAAATGTGCGTTGCGAGAGACCCCCCCCTTTGGGCGGGCGGGTGTGATCTCCCTGGGCTGGTCCGTCTGCACCGGTTCAGTTCCAAGCGATCCCACGCTTCGGACCCAAGCGAAAGGAGGCTCCCTTTCAAAAAGCAGGAGGATCTCTGGTCAAGATTGGGACAAGGGGGGGGGACAAATGGACTCTGGGCTGATTCGTATTGCCTGCCGTGTGATGGGACCAACAGGGATAGGTGTGAATGAGACTCACACACACCAGCTGGTGGTATTTCCTGCACCAAGTTTGCCATTTCCCCTTTCCTTCGCCATCCCCTCCTTCTGCCCCCCTTGGGTGTGTGTGTGGGGAGGGGCGCAGGGAGGAGTCTTAAGAGACTTAATCTCTGGGATCCCCCCCCCAAGCATGACCTGCGCAGACACAGAGCACTGCTCTTGTGCTCATGCGAAGAAACCAGGATGACGAAACCCTTCAGAAGCGCATAGGACAAGCCCCATGGACCAGCCCGACCCTAAAATGAAACCTTTGCTTGCTTTCAAAGCCATAAACTATTGACTGTGTGTGTCTTTAAATAGCACAACAGCCTTGCCAGGTAGGACCTTTCAATTCTCAGTAACAACTTAGTGACTTTCTCAAATCCTCACTGGATTTAGGTGTAATCCTGCAGTCACTTTCTCAAATCCTCACTGGATTTAGGTGAAATCCTGCTGTTCAAGAGACCACTCCTCTGTTGAAGAATTATATTTGTTTTTATTAAGAAAATAAAGTAGTTTCATTAGAATACAGTTGTTGCATTAAATAGGCTTAAGCAATTAGGCATATTCATCCCTTATGTTTAAAATAAGCTTACTATTTCCAAGTCAAATAAAAACTAAGCTAAGTAATCATTTTTGCTCTCTCTACATGTTAGCATCTCTAGAGCTTGGCTATTTCTCCCCCCCCCTTCACAAGAAAAAACCTCTCACCTTCCACGACCTTCACAGACCAACCACGAACATCATCACATAGATGAACAACCCTTTTTCGACACATCTCCAGACCTCCCTCTTTCTGGCGCCCTTTAGGAGTTAACCAGTTAAGGCCAAGCGGGTGTAACGCAGTTCATCGCCCAGATCCCAAAGCCAGGTGGCTTCTCTTTCCCCACTTAAGTGGTATACTGTGTTTCGACTTCTTCTGGGCCCCTTCGGGCCTTGCGTCCTTAGCTCCGTGCCAGGGCAAAGCAACTCTCCCCAACAGTCTCATGAGAACATTCCATAGCTTTTAAATTCATCTTCCATAGAACCGAACAAACTCCATTTTTGTTTGACTACAAGTCCCAGTTTCCTCTTGTTTCCTCACACACACACACACACACCAGCGCATTTCTTGTACCAGGGAACCCACGAGTGCTACTTCGAGTCCAACGGGAGCGAGGCCGGATCGGGGCCATCTTCTCCTCCTCCTCCTCCTCCGCGGCTGCGCTTCCTTCTGCGCTACTTCTACGACCGGCAGGAGTACTTGCGCTTCGACAGTGAGCGGGGTGAATACGAGGCCATCACGCCGCTCGGGGAGTTCGATGCCCGGTATTTCAACAGCCGGAAGGAGATCCTGGACGACACGCAGAGGAACGTGGGGTCCTTCTGCCGCCACAACTACGGTCCTGCGGAGAGCTTCACCTCGGGGAGGAAGAGTAAGTGGGTGCCTGGCTGGAGGGCAAGAGGGGCAGGAGGGAGCGTGAATGGGGCAGGAAAGGGGGCGCCTGCCGTCCTTAGAGCTGTGGGGCCCACCAGCGGCTCCCTCCGGGTGAGGGAAGGGAAATAAGTCGGGAGAGGAGCTCCTTCCTTGCCGGTCTTCACTGTGGAACTGACTCCGTTCCACACATGTGGCATTTCATTTATTTATCTATTCATTTATTTATTCAACTTAAACACCCCCCCACACACACACTGAGCAAACTGTTACTATGGGCAGTGTAAAAGGAATTATTT